CAACTTTCTCATATGTCCTGGAATGTCTCACCTTCGCGGACTGGTCGTCCGGGAACGGGCACGAGCGAGAAGCGAACCCGTCGATTTTTCTTGAAATTTTTATTCACGAGGTCCGCGATACTATATTCTTCTAAGCTTTTCGTCGTTCGTACCGTTTTATTGTCGTTTTGAACGCGTTCCCTTTCGTGTATCGATCGGAAGATATCTTTTAGAAAAGCGTATCGAATTTTTAGGGTACGGCCGTCTCGAATTTTTCGTTTTAAACATTAAGCGATCATTGGAAAGCAATCGAGAAAGGAAGAAAAATCCGATATCGCGCGTTTGATTCGGACGCTAAGATAAACGGGCATTCGATGAGTTTTTGGAAATTTATTGACTTTACATATCGACGATTAGGTGTCGTTTTTTCATCGTTTGTCGCGATTCGTAAATCGTAATCGTTAGATCCTCTATGGTAAGGTACGTCTCTGTCTTCGAGAATTATTTATTCTTACAGCCGCGTCTGTGTGTGTTTTAATCTAATTGTTCGTCGTACACTCCTCTCCATTCGGACTTGTAGATAATCATCTAGTTTTTATCCCGAACGGTGATTCGCGGACGCTCCTAGCGGACCTAGAAGTCCTTAGGACAACGTGAAATCGAGAATTCGTTTTTTTAGATAGTTTTCATGTGCGTTGTGTTTTTATATAGAAGAGAAAAAAGGAGAGAGAGGGAAAGAGAGAGAGAGACACAGAGAGAGAGAGAGAGAGAGAGAGAGAAAAAGAAAGATAATAGCAACAGGGCGAGAATGAAACGGCACCTTCGCGACGGAAGCGGTTCGTTCGAACGCGGTTGCATCGATTGCCATGCACTTAGCGAATAAAGAGGGAAACTCAACGTGCCATTTGAAGCACCGTCAGTGACTAGTTGTACGCAACCGATCGCTCGATCCTCCGTCCAGGCGCGAACGATGAAAATTAAAAGAAATTGGGAAAGACGTGAACTCACAGGTCGCAGGGCACAATCCCGAGTATCGTTCCCTTCTTCCACCCCGGAATCACGGGACACCTTCTGCATATAAAGGAGAAAGGCTTCTTCTGCTGGTCGAGAGAGATTCTATTTGCCATTGGACACTAAACAGGTCCAAATTTTCCTCCGGCCCTCGAGAGGAACGCGCGCGAACACATCCATACACACCTACACACACATATACATATATACATACACGCGGTTCTTTGTTGTTCGACTGAAAAGTATGCCTATGCCATATACCGAGAAAAAACTAACGAAGGAGGTATGAAAAAAAAACAGAAAGAAAGAAGGAAATGACACGCTAAACATACGTGTACTGTCCGTTTAATTTCGGATTAAAGCAGAAAAAAAATGGCGAGCGTGATAAAAATTTCAATGTCACCTCGATTCTTAAACAATTTGAGTATGAAAAAACTGTCGCAAGTTGCATCGACATTCGTAATTTACTGATTACGAAGTTCACGGACCCCTAGTCTCACTAGCTATGTTTCTGGACAAGTGAAGCGTATTGCTCTAATCTTTAGTTGAACGAACAGTACGTCCATTTGTTCCAATATTTTTCGTCCACGGTGTCTATTATCCCATGGCCGATTAGTATCGCCAACTACATTGTAATAATTTATTGACTTTTTTACGTAGGACCAAGCGATCTCCCTTTCTCCCAGCCCTCTGGATCCATGGATCCTCTTGCATTTGCTTCACCTAACCTCCTTTTACTCTTCCGGTGATCCCGCGATGATCGTTACCGTGACGTTCCTTGATTATCGTGATCCGCGTGACGTTCGCCTCTTCCCAGGTAGAACAGATGATATATCGTAAATCTCGACCAATCGATACTATTGACTTTTCGCCACCGACGAGAGATGGGAATCGTTCGTGTATCCTCCTTATTCCATTTTTTCTCGATTTTTATGTTTGTTTCTTTTTCATTTCATTTTACCTTCTCAAGTGTCACGAAGTAAATGACTAATCGATATCGCAACGTTCCCTCTATTCGGAACAGTAGGGTAAATTCGTAATCGATTGTTAGTCACGCCATCTAGGAGGCATTGTTTCCCGCCACGTCTCTCCGCATTATTCCCGAAAAAGAAAAAAAAAATACTGGAAAAAAAACTTTGTCTCTTCTTCGTAGGAAACATAGCGGTATCTAACTATCGACGTTCTCACCTGACGCGCGCAATTGCGAAAACACTCTGGAGGATTACCATACTTCGTAATAAATAATCTTATATATACGATGTTATGCGGCTATAATGTCTTATATATAACGTTATGTCACTATTATGTCCTGTGCAATAATAATATGAATTTTACGTACACGAACCGTCGCATTTATTGCCGCCCGCAACGACCAATCATATAAATCATATTTCATCACGTATTACACGTAACGCGCAATATATGAATTTTCAAAAATGGCTGATACTGATAAGGTTTGAGCATCAATGATCTGCGCATGTCTTAACCTGTTGCCTAGAAAAACGTTTGTCCGTTTTGTACCATTTTCCGTTTTATTTACTTATGCAAGAAATATTTCACATATATCGATTATTGGGAAGTCAACCGGTTTACAGGTTAAGACAGTTTCACAACGATGCGGAACTTTAATGACAAGTTATTTGCGACCTACATGAAAATTTGTTCGGAAACAGTTTCTTTATTAAAATCGTATTCCCTCTGTTCATCGCCATCGGACTTTTGAAATGGCAATGGTATACAATACTCGAATAAAATTTATGTAAATGTCGCAAGAGAAAACGATAAGTTGGAGCAAAGAGAATAGGGAAACAAAGGTAAAATAGGAAAAGTTTCGGAGGATAGAATGATCTGGTGTCGGCTGGGCGAGATTCCAAACAAAAAAGAAATTCGAAAGACAGTATGTTTCTACTTGGGTCGCAGGAATACGAGCGCCATTTCTGTAAAGTCCAACGTGACGTACGGGGTAAATGAAACATCATGCCAATACTGCCATGTATTACGTAAGGAACACCAATTTCATACGGGAATTATCGTAACCTGATCGGCGGCATTCCATTTTCATTTTCTTTCTTCGTTTTCGTCCCCCGTGACAATCTGACAATTCCATTTATCTTCTTGTAGTGACTAACACCGAAAACGATCGTTGGATATTACGGGCAAACAGCGTTTCAAACTTGATCGTTGCGTCGACTGTCAACATCGCGGGAGGCGATCGGCCAATCGCGTATCACTTACCCTCCCCACTCCACCTCTCTCCTCACGGAATTACCGTCACGTGATTCAAGCAAAATCATCGTTAGATGAAATAATCTGTTTCTACAATCGCCTGCCGCGATGTCGATCTATATATTTTCAGGTACGAAAACTTCATCGATCGGCGCGTTCTCGTGAACGAACTTTTTTCACTGCTTCTAAATCGATCTTATCGATTCGTGAAATAGCTCGACGCTATTTTATAAGCTTATTTATAATGCGTCTAGACGTCTCGAGGATATATTGTAATGATATACGTAGTAATAAAGGTACGATTAAGTGTATTGATAGGGTCGACTTGGAAGGAGAACTATTTAAACAACTATTCAATGTACAGGTTATGTTGGATGATAAGGTCGCAAATAAATATCGATACCTAAGCGAACGATCGGAATGAGTTGAATGATTAAGGTACGGTATCGAAAGTACCTTCAGAAAAAAATCATATTGTGTTTAGGGTAAATCAGTTGCAATAAATGGAATCCAAATCATCTCTTTCTTCTAGTTTATCCCTTCTGTTTTCTTATACACAATTTCCCATTCGACCAACATTCGAACAAAATAAAGAAATTTTAATAAAGAATATTATGACTGAAAGACTTCCACCTGAACAAAAAATTAAGCAGAAAATGTATGCTGCATTTTCACGTGACTCGTTTAAAATTCTTGTGGCGCTATCTAGATTTTAAGCATATGTATTTGAGCTACTATTCCTGTCTTATTTCTTAAGCAAGATGGAGCTACAGTGCCTTTTAAGTCTTTCAGCGAAATTAATTAGAAAGCTAACAAAGAACGTTATATGTATACATACATATAAAATGTAACCGTCATGTATAAAAATTATTAATTTGTGTCTCAAACCAAGCAAATAATTTGATTCTAAGCATCAGATAGATTTGACTGAGACCGCAATGCGTTACTTTATTAATAGTAAAGGTACATCAAAAATACGTACTCCAACATTTTTAAAAGGGTTTTTAACAATGTATTAATTATTCCTCCGCACCCGTAAAAGCAATGTTTCACTTCTCTAAGTATTTACATCAATACTCTACAAAGGCAGTAGAAAAATATATTCATAAACTCTTCTAGATATAAATTTCTAATATTCTACATACTCTATAAATTTGTTAACGATGTAGATGAATGTATAAAAAAGCATATCGAAAAGAAAGTCAAAGTCCAACAACGAATATTCACCTATTATACGATGTATGAATCAAAAATATACGAAGTAGACTCTAACGATAACGTTGTGAACAAGATATTGCACTACAAATTGCTCTTAAGGAATGGTTTCAAATATTTTTGGAAAGACTCATTCACGCTTGTCTGGTTCAGAGGGCTTTTCATGGCCTCTGCGAACAGTCGCTCGTAAACGTTGCCATCATATGCTCCCAGAGCTGAACAAAGGATTTCATCACGAATATCAAAGCCGTCAACAATACCGACAGCGTTTGGACGGATAGCGGCTAGTAGGTCTTCCAGCCAAGCTTGAAGTGATGGGACATCCTCATTTCTCAATGCAGAGAACTGAACAAACAAAATTAATTGTGAAAGTTCCAACAACCTTCAGAAATCGATCGTATCAACAACTACACATGCAAAAACACCTGAGAATTAAAATATTCTGCCAAAACGACCATATACTGCACCTAATCATTTATCGTCTACAATTAACTATCAATAGCTAAACAATGAAATACAAAAATAAAACGAAACATTGAGAACACTTGTCATTTCATACTCACCTGAAGGAAATCGCCGAGTCTTTGTAACACCCAGTATACAGCATACAGTTCACAAAGATGCTGCAGAACGGCACGCAACTCTTTCGACACAGATGTAATTTCTTTAACGGATTCTATGAATCTCATGACTAGAAACGCTCTGCAATGAGCCTCAGCGCAGCGGGCTAATTCGATGCTGGTTTGATTCCAAGCATCTTCATGCGAAATTCCTTTACTTATCCTGCGGTCCATATTCTCCGTCGCCAAACGAATCTTGCTGTTTAATGAGAAAATATTAGTACAATTGTACAGTTGCGTGTGGATATCACGTTAGATAATAGTACTAGTTGATAAAGAAATTACCCAGCAGCTACCGCTTGATGAGCATTAATAATACAGTCTAAACTGTTTTTCCAAGGTCGTTGTTTAACACCCTTGACGAGCATCGTGAGATACTGTATGGTTAATGGCAACTTCTGACCACTGACCGCTAATTTCCAAGCTTTAACCAAGTATCTCGCCGTTTGCAATAACAGAACAGTGTTCTCTCCCTCGTAGGTACAGACGGCAGTAACTAAACCGTAAGTTGCTGGAAGATTGCTAGCGTCCATATATCCGTGTCCACCGCAAGCCAATCGCACTTGTTCTACTCCGGTGGCTGCGTCCGAAGACGCAACTGCTTTCAGGCAACACGACAAAGCATGCAACTGCAAAGTAACAGCCACTATTAGTTGTCGAAGCCCAGGAAAAAGATACAATTTATTGAACAGTGTCTTAGAAAGTGATTGAAGATAATGCTATCTAGTACCTCAGGTAATCTGTCCAACTCGCCCTGGTCTAATTCAGCTGTAACATTATTGTACATATTCCAGATCCAATCTGCGGTCATCCGAAAAGCGAAACATGCGGCAAGATTTGGGAAGATTTTGTATTGTTGCGTTATGTAATTAATAATTTGTGCCTCGGGTTCACTGATAAAATAACATGAAAAAGATTGAGAAGCGATTCTTTATAATTGAACGTGTTGAACTTTACACACTACAATTATCTTTTCTGTTACTCACTCTGAATTAATTTGACTCTGACGTCGTACCGCGCTGTATCTCGTTGCAATCGTGACAGCTTTCGATAAATAACTTGCGATATCATGAACCAATACAACGCGGACAAACATCATAGTACCATACGTTAATTTGTCGTTTAATGCTTTCACGTATGTACCATCTTCGAGAACCTATAATAAGGAAGTTCAGATGCATGCATTTTTATGAACTGTGCGCACTTTATCCGACAGTTCTATTTATGCAAATAACATGTAAATTACCTTTCCAACTTACTGCCATTGAAAAATGACCGAGCGAAAAACAGACAAAAAAATTTAAAGAATAGCACAAGAGATGTCGAAATGTTAAAGTCTTGCAATCTCTATTTTTTGTTACATTATAAAACATGTTAAAATAGTTATATTGAGCTTAATTATTCTTATCAAAGTTATTAAAGACTGGAGTACAAAAGTACCCCGCGAGTGTAGTTGTGTAAGCCAGATTTGGCCAGCGTTGTTAAGGGTTAATAGCTTGCGAATGTTGATGCGATTTCTAATAATGGAGAAGGAATATTCAGAAATAGAGAAAATAATTGAATATTAATTTTATGATCAAGAGACGCATGAGCATCCGCAATCTATGAATCGTATTAGTTTTACCGAGAAAAAATAGAACTGTTTGCTTTTTCACGGGAGCTTCGTGAAAGTAGCATACTTTCTCTTTTACCTGAGAGTTCTTCATAAGCATGTTTTCGCGAGGTATTCTGACGTTCTCGAATCCAAGAAATCCGTTATTTGTTGCATTCATTCCTAACTTGGTGCCAATTTCTCCAATTTTAATACCTGTACCAATAGAAACGTATTAAAAACGAATTTCATTGTCATGCGATCGCTTTAGTTCGCAGATACGTAAAAGACGACGTCAACATACCGGGCAGAGGTTCGTGTGTCTCTTCATCTCTTAATTGCACGATGAAAGGATGGATTCCTTTGCAGTCTCCTTTAGTGTATAATTGGGCGACGACTACGGCATAATTCGCTGTATGGCCCACTATAATTAATATTAAATGTAGGATTAGAATGTAACTATCTCTAGAGAAAATAATTCCTCTATCATTTTCTATTTAATACTCACAACCCCCAGGCCACCATTTATAAGATGTTAAAGTAGGGCTGTTCAGTACAAATTCTTTTGTACTAGGATCGTATTTTGCTGTTGTTTCCAGACCTCTAATGAAAGTTCCATGACCAAGTTCAGTCTGAAATAAAAAAAGAAACGGAATATTAAATTTGTATTTTAATATAAGTGTTACAATAGTTTACCTGAGCATAAGTTCCCACAATATTGCCACTCCATGCTCTGGATATCCAATACTCCTGTTGCTTTGTAGTTCCTTGTCCTATAAGAGATGGAAGAAACATGGCATAGTGAACCAAAAATGGATTTCCATCTTTCAGTATGCCAGACCCAAACATCCCTCCTAAAACATGACTGAAAAATACCTTCAATCAAAAAGCATGTTCTTTTATTTATGAAACAACCAGAGATCATAACCGTTATAATCAAAACGAGAAAAAACAATTTTTACTTAAAATGATTTTGATTACTAAATAATGACTACAATTTTTTTGTTTACCAATTACTATTATAAATGATGGAAACAGTTTTTGTTTATGAACTACCATAATAGATAACGAAAATTCTTTCTTGTTACACACAATTGTCGATAACGAGAATTTTAAGTCATTATGCAAACAATTTTTATTATCTATAATAGTTATTTGTAACCAAATACCATTTCTGTCATTTATAATGGTTATTGGTAACAAAAATAATTCCAGACATTTACAATCATTAATTAGTAACCACACTACATAAAAGTTCATTTTTTTCTAATCACTGCATTTTTTTTTATTTTCTTTAAAATTTAATGATAACCATCTTGTATGAGAATTAAAAATCAATTTTCTATTGATGGTTATTTCCTATCCAATATTTGATATAACTGTTATCTTTGATCTCTGAAAATAGTAAAATAATAATAAAGAACATACGAGAAAAGATCCATGTCACCCCTGCCTTCCTCTTGTAGTGTTCGTACCTTTTGCAAAACCTTGCAGGCTTTACGAACTCCATTTTCATATACTTCCTTGTGGCTTTTGTATTTAACTGGTACATCATCTTGCAACTCAGGATCATCAAGGAAGAATTGTTCTGTAACAAAATTTGTATAACATTAACAGGAAGATAAAGATTTTCTTATATTAAAAGAAGATTTATTTGTATTTATTTATTTATTAGTATTTATTTATTTATATATTTATTTATTTATTTGTATTTAACATCTGCTATTTTTTGTTTGCTTACAAATGGCTTCCTGGTCTATGTCACAATGTAATAAAAGTATTTAATTGCAGTAAAAAAGTACATAAATAATTTTTTGTTACATCAATATATGACATAGCAGTTTTGCTGGTAAAGTATATCTAGTCTCTATCACGAGTAATTAAATCGTCAATAACAGTAAAGCAACGTGATAATCAAAAACCGATAATATACTGTATTAACATAATCAATTTCCGATTGCATGTTATTGGTAGCGTAATCGCAATGAAATATGCAACATTTGTTCACTAATCTTATCGGAGGGTGCGTTTTCAAAGTCTAAAGATCGCGGCGTTAGGCTTTTATTTATGCATTACGTCTTAACTGAGTAACGTTAAAATTAAATAAAAACACATGTTAACCGATTCAAGTGATAATTACCGGATAATTTGATGTTAACATCATTCGATTCTACCGCAACGCCATTCGTCATAGGCGTATCTATTTTCTTCGTATTCTGCACGAGGAAAGTATCAAATCAATTTATTCGGTCTCGGACAATTTCGGATCATACACAAATGTAACAACAAATTAATCTTTTTATCTATCACGATCATCGGAATTTATTTTATATCAAGAATTCGTTTTATCTACAACAACAGTGACTCAACTGAAGTTTAATTCCCATAATACGAAAGTGCTATCTTTAAGGTACAAAGGTGCTAGTCGAAAAACAGAATCATTTGTTTTTGTGCGTTCAAACTTTCTTACATACATATATTTCGTACAATATATTACATACTTTCAAAAACTTTGATAGTTATCATTTTGTCTCGTCTTAATCTACAGAATGTTAATAAAACCATTTAATATTTATATGGTACACGAGACCCACTGTACTGAGTAAAAAGGCCTTAGTAAACATAGATCGATTTCTGAGATATTTCATTCAAAGTTTCAATACTCTACTATAAACAAAAGCATTGAACGAATGTTGGAAATGTTGGAAATATTACTTCCGTATTAACAGCGAGAATAAATGTAAAATGACGCGTATGTAAAAATGTGAACAGTATCATTACAGAACAAACAAAATTAATGGGTGAAGTGCTGAATATTTAACATTACAAATTATCCAACACGTAATTTCCATATAGATTAATAATCTCCGGATAAAACAAATTTTGAAAAGAGAATAAATTTGAATAACGCTTATTAAGTAACCGCCATGCTCTAACAGGTGTCCGTTGTACCGCATTTATACAGGTAAAAGCAAGTGTTTCGTATACATAATTATAATATATAACAGTGAACGCATTATCTGTATAAATAAGAATAAAATTTAATTAAATTTATTGATAAATCAGTTTTATAATTTCCATTCGTCGGTAGTACTTCCTGCATCGTTCACGATGCAGGAATATATCCATTCTTAAATTCATTACAGTGCATTGCAGTGATTGATTATCGTGAATTATTTAAGAGTTCAAAGCGAAGGCTTCCGATCGGATTAATATCAGTATTCGGCGGAATAACGAATCAACTACAAGTGTATGTTCACAGTGAATCTAAAAAAAAAAGGTTTAACTATGTCTTAAATACCTCGTTCACGACGACTATTAGTTTTCTCTGGACTACCGTCCATAAGATTAGTCAATTCAACTGGATTGAATGTACATTTCTCCCGTTCACGCTGCAAATCCTTGTTCACAGTAATTGTCTTCTGCATTTTTGTCAACGGATAATCACACTACGTCTACACGGCAAAGTGTCACGTAAAACTGGGCATTCGCCACACGAGCCACTAGCTCAAATGTGTATATGTACGTAAGTATTTACGCTATGCGTCACTCTTTCTAATCAATGCGTCACTATAAGCGCACCGACGAATCGCACAGGTCGATTTCACAAGTACCAAAAATCTTTGTCTCATGTTCCAACGACTGTAATTCGTTTATCATTTTCTTCTGTCACATCCAACATTAATTACTGAAATAATAATGATATGTTACACGTCATATATGAGACATGAATGGCAATGCACGATGCTTACATCCCATTCTCACTCCATATTTGAGACACATACATTTGGCGGTAAATTCGAATTTTAAACATACATGTATATTTAATGTTGATCTTCCGTATATATATCTAACGGAAGATTATATTCATATAATATTCATATAATATTTGCTTACAACTCGATAGCAAAGCATCTCTTGATAAACATTATATGTATAATATTTTTTTCTTCCTTTTATATGTGTAGATTAAGCTCTTGCAGTTTGCCCGACCAACAATAAATTCTGAACACCCTGTATATATTAATTTATTAAAGTTGTGAAAATAAAGTTCAAGCATACAATATAAATTATTTTTCAAACAACTAATTTGTTTTATTGCAGCATTATTTGACAATTCAAAATAAGCCCGCCTTTATTGTTCTCATTTCCGTTGGTATAAGAACACAGGAAATGTAGTTCCTGCCATTTTGTTCTTCTTTACCAAGGAGGACTCGTTGATCCGTCATGAGGTACAGAACCTTCTTAAGATTTTCTAAAATATTTTGACAGTATTACATTAAAAATAATTCCGATCACTGATATTGTTAAGGAAAATGTTTATACTCTTTCTCATAGATGTGACATTTCATTGAAAACATGATAATTTTCGATTTCTATGCTCATAATTCGTTTAGAGCTGACCACATGGTTCAGTGTATCGAACTCATGTTATCTTTATATTTTGTGCAGTGTTTATATTCTATTTTAGTTGCATTTTCGCGAATGTGTTAACTAAACGATATGTAACTAAAGATTTAAAACAATCTTACCACGTTTTGTAATACCGAATGATCTCCATAACATAACCTCACTTCGTTTGTTTCAGTTCGTTAAAATTGCAGAAGAGGCTCGCAGCCTCTGTTATGCGATGTGGCCGAAAGAAGGTCTGGTTGGATCCTAATGAAATTAATGAAATCGCAAATACAAATTCTCGTAAGTTTAAACATTTCTGTAAATTCTATGCAGTCTACACTTCCTTTTCTGGTATCATGAGCACAAGTCTCATATTCTTTCAGGTCAAAGCATCAGAAAGCTGATTAAAGATGGTCTCATCATTAAGAAGCCCGTGGCTGTTCACTCCAGAGCCCGTGTCCGCAAAAATACCGAAGCCAGACGCAAAGGTCGTCACTGTGGTTTTGGTAAAAGGAAGGGTACAGCAAACGCTCGTACACCACAAAAGGTAAATATGAGTGCTTTATTCTTAAAACAATGTTGCTTTGAATTTATGAGAAGGCAAACGATAATAAACACTTTACATTATTTATAGGACTTGTGGATTCAAAGAATGCGCGTTCTTCGTCGACTATTAAAAAAATATCGAGAGACGAAGAAGATCGACAGGCACCTTTATCATTCTCTGTACATGAAGGCAAAAGGTAACGTGTTCAAGAACAAGAGAGTTTTGATGGAGTTCATTCACAAGAAGAAGGCTGAGAAGGCGAGAGCAGAGATGCTTTCGGATCAGGCCGAAGCACGTCGTACTAAAGTTAGGGAGGCACGTAAACGCAGAGCAGAACGTATTGCAACTAAGAAGCAAGAGTTACTGCAGTCGTATCAACGCGAAGACGAAGCAGCGGCCGCGCAGAAGAAGTGATTTAAGAATCTTACAGACTATTGTATAAATAAAACATGAAAAAAACAAAATTCTTTTGTGTAATTTTACTACAACATGATCGTTCAGCTCTATCCGGAAATCTTCATTGCCATGAGTCTTACAAAAAGAGAAATTATGATATCAGTAATTATTATTTTAATACATTATTACGATTTTAAATGTTTAAGATACTAATTTTACTCCAATAAGAAATATTAACAAAAAAAGTTGTAACTGTTTACATTTTTTCAATTAAGTTTCTGTTGGTGCCTGTAGGTGGAGACATTGTTGCCTTTCAGGTTATGATCACAATACTGTATGTAAGTAAAGATAACTTCGTGTTGTATTACAATAGCGCGATCGAGTAGGTGTCCAAAAATTGTACATACGTAAAAAAAATCATTATAGTGTTGGCAAATATATATTCCGACCTGGATCGAAGGTGCATGGTTTACATTTGAAGTATTTTATTTATATATTTATTTATACTTTTAACAGAGCATAAGGAACACGCGAGAGATTAGAAAACTAAATTGTGTACGATACGTGAGGAGCTAATTAAAAATATTGAAACAAAAAATTTATGTTAATTTGGAGAAAAACATTCTTGAATTTAGTTCTTTAATGCTGAAGCATGTGGTATATTTATGTTTTAAACGCAGCTTTTGTATCGTGCTCCAAGTGAAGTTTTTTTACTGTCGTGTACAAGAAGCATACTTATTGTTAACATCATAAAAATAATCATTTCTTTAACCTTTAAAATGTGTGCGTATATTTACGTTCGTGATTGCATAAAAGCAAGGGGAGTCGGTGTCAATTAATATTTTGATTACAGTTGGCCGCTCAACTTCATGTCGTACGAATTATACGATGTTCTTATAAAATGTTCGTTTCAAAACTGTAATATAAATGCTGTAACATGTGCAAATATGTTAAATGACTTGAAACAGCAGTTGTACGAAGATTTATTTTATATTATAAAAAATTAAGAGTTCACAGCTGGACTTTTCATCATTATTTGATTACTATAGAGGCGAAACTTACGTGTTTTTTGAGAGTTATTTTCAAAGCACATGCGTGCAGAAATTGTTACGTAGTTAATATTCACGAGATGTTTAAAAGGATTTGATTATATACGTGAAACGATAAAAGCTTTTTCTTCAAGTCAAATTGAATTTACGAAACTGTTCATTTCCTTTTAAATATAATTATCCATAACGTTGTATTTAAAGTATTGCCGCGTTTATCAGTTTTCAATTCTTCATATTCAGTACTTTTTTATCACAGAATTCTAGTATGAAGTGTATATGTATATAATAGTATGGAGTGTATATGTATAATACTATATAATGCATAGAATTATGTACTTTTTACTGTTCTATTTGGAAACTTTTAAGAAGTAATGAATATGTTGTCTGTGAAAAAACGGCAACACCGATTCTAACTTGTGTCCAAGATTCTTCAATTGAAGGACATGAAAAACAAAAATATCCAAACAAGTTTTGCCTTTGGCTGTGTTCTACGTTCTACTTTCTACTACGTATCAGTGATGAAATATGGAACGGTGTTTCTCGTGCATGCGCGCCCAGAATGACAGTAACGTAACCTATGGTCGGGGAGAAGGTAGTAAAGCAGCGACCAAGACCTGATAAGTGCACTACGAATTTTTGGTAAGTTATTGCTATTATTTGATCATGGCAGCTAGCTATGCATTCATTTTTGGCAATCAAATCGTAAAAATTTTTGCAAAAAGATGCACGGTGATCAAGGTACCCCATTTTATCGAAAGATTTACGTACTTCACTGATGGTAAATTCGATGCGCATGCGTGATAAAACCAGTTCCATATCTAATATTAGACATAAAACACGTTCCATATCTTATCATTGACTGCGTGACACTACGTGTGTTCCTGGCTGAAAACTAAACATACAGCGATGATGGACCAGGAGGAACAGGTCCGTAAATATGGAATATCTCAACTTAATGTGGAAATTTTGTTTATTCTGATTTTATCCCTCTTGTAAAATTATTTTCTCGGTTACTTAATCCTTTATGACATGGTTAGCGTACATTTGACAATTCTGACTCAAGATGGAGATTTCTAGTAATAACCTGTTAAGTATGAATGTTATTTTGTCTTTTTAAGTTTGAATAAAATTTTGTTCTATTCTCATCAATATTTAAGTATTCAGGTATTAAATGATGGCACACAATAAATATATATTTCCTTTTCTTTCTAAGTAATTATTACAATCGAAAATTTTCTAACCATTGCAACTGTGAAGAAAGTGTTGCAACAAGAAGTTAACAGCAGTAATTAAAAATATTCGTTTTCATTTAATTCCATGAATGATATTTTTATCATTTATTTATGTTGTTTAAAGAGATGATAATTTAATGATTTAATATAAATTAGATTAGTTTATGAATACGTGTTTGTAGCCATACATTAGTTCAGACTAAATCATATGTTTCTCATTACGATTTAATAATACGAAATAATTTTATTTTAGTTAATGAAAAACGATCAGTTCAGGCTCTGTACACGTTCTAGAGCCAGGCATTTACGTAGAAAGCGAATGCACGATGCCCGTAGGGCTGAAAAGCAACAAGATTGTTCATTTAATGGGATAGATGTTGAATCTGACTGTAAAAATTCATTATCTATTACTGAAATAGTCAGTAATCAAGAAGTTTCTGCTGAAAATGATACAGAGGATACACAAACAATAACTAAGTCCAAAGCTCGCAGATTAAGGAAAAAGAATAAAAATAAATTGGAAGAAAGCATTTGTCCCTATTCTTACTATTCTGCCAATTCACCTCTTGCACCACTTCTGAAATGTTTTAGAACAGAGAGTTTTTGTTATCCATGTTCTTGTAACAAACATATGAAACAAAGGGACGCTGAAATTTATAGTAATTATTTGGTGGCAAATGTATTTAGTGATCCGTTCCAAAGGATTAAAAAGGTGATCAACAATATAGACAATTTATCCGAACGAGATAGTAATGCATTGAAATCCTTTGGATTTCCTAAAGAATACTTTTCTAGGTGTCTGAAATCAATTTTACAAGAACAATTGGAAACTAAGGTAGTTACAGATCCAATTATAAGTTCAGAAAATAATACACCTGACTTGAATTCTTTGCAAACAGAAATTTTAGGCTCTAAAGAACAATTACCTATGATACAAAATAATAATAACTCGTCAAATATAACTTCTTCGTTAGGTAACAATTTACACTTACTATTAAATTATGTTAGATATTTTTTAAAAAATCACTACATTCCTTTCTCTTTTTTATAGATAACATTGAACTTGATAAATTAGGATCTACATCATTATCAAATTCGCCGATTGCTACAAAAATGACTGAAAATAAAATGAATATTTCGGAAAAAACTCGAGAGGAAGTGAAAAACGAACGAGCAGCAAAAAAGGCAGCTAAGGCGCTTGCCAAAGCGAAAGCAAAAACAGATAAGGTACAAACTAAAGCTGATTCCAGCAACAAATCTGCATCCACCGATAGTACTAATGATGAAAAGACTATTGAAATACCAGACAGTGCATCTAGCGAAAATGTCCAGAATAAAATACCCCCAAGTCATAAGACTAATACATGCGCGAAAAATGCACCAGTAGAAACTAATGTTGAAGGGAGAAGCAAAGCAGAATTACGTGCTGAAAGGAGAGCGAAACAGGAGGCGCAAAGAGCTGTCAAACAACAGGTCCTGCATGAGAAAACTAAAGTGAAGACTAAAGAAAACGAAGAAAGTAAGGTTTCCGTAGTGCATCAGATTGCAGTTCCAGCTGACTGTGCAAAGAAACCTACAATGCCTAAAAAATCTAGTTTAAAAGAAAATACTCATGAAATCAATCTTTTCAAGCATTTGTACCATGAAAGAGAGCAAGCCATCGTCAATGTTCTTCCAGTAAATTCACACATACACCCGAAAATAGTCAGATTAGGTGCACAGTATGCCCAAAAAGTGATAGTTGGCAGTAATGCGAGATGTGTAGCTCTCTTGGCCGCTGTGAAAGAGCTTATTCAAGATTTCGAACGACCATCACAGGCTGACTTTATCAGAGGTCTCGAATCAAGTTTGTTAGAATCAATGGCTTACTTGCATCACTGTAGACCATCGGCTGTTTCTATGCAGAATGCGTTGAGGCATCTATTGAGACAAATGACACAGCTATCTTCTGCGTTATCCGATGCGGATGTAAGTAGAAATCCGAAAGAATTTCGAAAGACTTTGTAAAACTCCACTTTTCATACCTATTTTATTTTCCAGGCAAAATGTAAATTGCTCAATGTGATAGATACTTACATACGCGAACAAATACAGCTCGCTGATGATGCGATATCATTGACCATTCAGCAAAAAGTGTCTAATGGGGACGTTATCTTGACGTATGGCTAGTAAGTGCCCATAGATGTATAATAAAAATGACATGTGTCTACAGAACAAGATTTTATACAGAGTGAGACACCTAAATAACTCGGCTGCTATTCATGATAGATAAATAACGTCTCATTTCATTTACAAGAAAACTATCTTCTTCTATTACAACAACAGCCAAGTTTACCAGGTAGCCTGTTTCAGGTGTCTCACTGTGGATAATACTATGATATATCCAACAAAATCGGTACTGCTTTTAGCTCGTCTTTGATTCATAAAATCCTGTTAGACGCGCATACGGCAGAGAAACAGTTCCGTGTCATAGTTGTGGATGGAAGGCCTTGGTTAGAAGGAAGGGAACAGCTCAGACGTTTAGCACAGCACGGCATCGAGTGCTCCTATATTCTAATTAATGCTCTAAGCTACGTAATGCCAGAAGTAAGGATTCGAATACACTTTCTTTTGTCACGCATTTTAACGTGATTTCTTTTTCTATTGTTGATTAAATAGGTGAGTAAAGTCTTCCTGGGTGCTCATGCAATATTGGCCAATGGCGCTGTCATGTCGAGGGCTGGTACCGCACAAGTTGCTCTGATGGCGAGAGCCTTTAATATCCCAGTTCTGGTGGCTTGCGAAACCCACAAATCCTATGAGCGTGTACAGACGGATTCTATTGTTTATAATGAACTAGGTAAATATTATTGGTAAGATAATTCTATACAGATCATCTGAAGTTTCTGCAATCAAATCTAACGTTTCAGGTAACGCGAATGAACTTGCGCAGGGATGCGGCTCAAAAAAATGTCAGCTGACCAATTGGAAAACGAAGAAGTCCTTAAATCTTTTAAATATTACCTACGATGTCACACCAGCTGATCTGGTTACAGCTGTTGTTACGGAATTAGCGATTTTACCCTGCACCAGTGTCCCTGTGATTTTACGAATCAAACCGTCTGAGATTTAATTCTTCACAATAATTAATTATATAGTATGTAATACTAAATGTTCTATAATCAAATATTTCGAGAACTAACTGCGACTTTTGATTTGTCCGTTGAGTAAAGCGATCCTCCTACCTGTTATCTTTCTATTATCATAGCAAAATGAAACTTCTGTATACTATTTCTTTTTAAGAGAATTTGTCTACAGTTTACACACGTATAGCTTTATGATGTTGAATGCGAATGGTGTTTCCGTTTTAAAATAGAGTCGATGCATGCAATGTTATTTATCGTGCTATTAGGGGGACCGGAAAGTTATGTCGTTTGTTTACATTAAATTCAAGTAACAAGGTTTATAGTGGTGTTCATGACGTTCATGAAGATTCTACTATAACATTTGTACATTAAGTTAGGTTAGAGCATTCTGTGACTGTGGGTTCATGGGTTGTGTATATAATTCGGTTTTTGCGTTTTATGTAGTATCAATCTGTTATACTGCAAAGTATGATTGATTCTACGAGTCTACCGTGTAATTCATCGTTTGGTTATAGGATCATTTATTAATAATGTTTGCATACAAAAATACATGTATAAGGTTTTGAAAAAAATATAACCTTCATTTAAATATTTTCTTTGATTTTCTTGCGCTGATTTGTGCCCGATGAGTGAATTGTTGTAAAAAGAAGATGTATAAACTGTTTATTTGTAAAACATTCGTTGAAACATGCTACAAACAGTCATTGTTTTANTAAATAACGTCTCATTTCATTTACAAGAAAACTATCTTCTTCTATTACAACAACAGCCAAGTTTACCAGGTAGCCTGTTTCAGGTGTCTCACTGTGGATAATACTATGATATATCCAACAAAATCGGTACTGCTTTTAGCTCGTCTTTGATTCATAAAATCCTGTTAGACGCGCATACGGCAGAGAAACAGTTCCGTGTCATAGTTGTGGATGGAAGGCCTTGGTTAGAAGGAAGGGAACAGCTCAGACGTTTAGCACAGCACGGCATCGAGTGCTCCTATATTCTAATTAATGCTCTAAGCTACGTAATGCCAGAAGTAAGGATTCGAATACACTTTCTTTTGTCACGCATTTTAACGTGATTTCTTTTTCTATTGTTGATTAAATAGGTGAGTAAAGTCTTCCTGGGTGCTCATGCAATATTGGCCAATGGCGCTGTCATGTCGAGGGCTGGTACCGCACAAGTTGCTCTGATGGCGAGAGCCTTTAATATCCCAGTTCTGGTGGCTTGCGAAACCCACAAATCCTATGAGCGTGTACAGACGGATTCTATTGTTTATAATGAACTAGGTAAATATTATTGGTAAGATAATTCTATACAGATCATCTGAAGTTTCTGCAATCAAATCTAACGTTTCAGGTAACGCGAATGAACTTGCGCAGGGATGCGGCTCAAAAAAATGTCAGCTGACCAATTGGAAAACGAAGAAGTCCTTAAATCTTTTAAATATTACCTACGATGTCACACCAGCTGATCTGGTTACAGCTGTTGTTACGGAATTAGCGATTTTACCCTGCACCAGTGTCCCTGTGATTTTACGAATCAAACCGTCTGAGATTTAATTCTTCACAATAATTAATTATATAGTATGTAATACTAAATGTTCTATAATCAAATATTTCGAGAACTAACTGCGACTTTTGATTTGTCCGTTGAGTAAAGCGATCCTCCTACCTGTTATCTTTCTATTATCATAGCAAAATGAAACTTCTGTATACTATTTCTTTTTAAGAGAATTTGTCTACAGTTTACACACGTATAGCTTTATGATGTTGAATGCGAATGGTGTTTCCGTTTTAAAATAGAGTCGATGCATGCAATGTTATTTATCGTGCTATTAGGGGGACCGGAAAGTTATGTCGTTTGTTTACATTAAATTCAAGTAACAAGGTTTATAGTGGTGTTCATGACGTTCATGAAGATTCTACTATAACATTTGTACATTAAGTTAGGTTAGAGCATTCTGTGACTGTGGGTTCATGGGTTGTGTATATAATTCGGTTTTTGCGTTTTATGTAGTATCAATCTGTTATACTGCAAAGTATGATTGATTCTACGAGTCTACCGTGTAATTCATCGTTTGGTTATAGGATCATTTATTAATAATGTTTGCATACAAAAATACATGTATAAGGTTTTGAAAAAAATATAACCTTCATTTAAATATTTTCTTTGATTTTCTTGCGCTGATTTGTGCCCGATGAGTGAATTGTTGTAAAAAGAAGATGTATAAACTGTTTATTTGTAAAACATTCGTTGAAACATGCTACAAACAGTCATTGTTTTATTCAACAAAATGTAATATTCGTGAAATATTGACTACTCAGTTGGGTTTAGACCATAACACCATGGAGAATATTCTTCGAGATAAAAACTATAATTTCGATACATTATCGGAACAGAATATTACTAAAAATTGTAAAATTCTTAAGGTTTAAATTTTTCACAATACTACTTGATATTATATTACATAGTGTATGTTTGGTATAGTTTCATTTCATTAATAACGTCTCCCTTACATATGTGTTTTAGGATCTAGCAGTGGAAATGCAGAATACCAATTTCTTAATAGATTGCTTAAAACTCGAGCCTAGAATCTTAACTAATAGAATCCTACTACTTGAAGAAATTGGTGTTACAACTGTATCTTTGGATCATATTTATGGGTATCATACAATGTTTGGGATCTTACCGCAATGTAAATGTATAACTTACTAGTCTCTTATTCTAGGTTTTCATCATCAATGCGTAAAACATTAAAATCATTTAAACAACGATACAACATGCCACCAGAAACTGATATAGTAAAAAACATGCTCAACAGTGTTGGAAAGTCTCCATTATCGTCAAATGCATTAAAATTGCAAGGGCGTGCCAAAACAGCAGATTATTACATACTAACTATGACATATTACAAAACATTTTACCTCAAAGTATACAACAAACCTCTTCTCAGTAGTGCTGTATTCAAGTACCAAAGCTTCAGACAACTTACTGGGTTGGTGGACATTCTTAAAACCAAATTTCAAATTGATAAGGACTTTGTAAGTACAATCTCTTTGTGCATGGAAGTAATACAAACAATGATTAGACATTAATTGAGTTTGGTTTACAGCTAGATAGGCATCCTTTCTTATTAACCTTGCATCTAGATGATGTAAATCATTTTTTGAATGAATTTGAGGATATAAAAATTCATGGAGCAAGCATGGTTGATCTAGTCAAAAAGTTTCCACGTCTTTTGCAATACGATATATCTAATATTAAGGCACTCAGAGCTCTTTTTGAAGAATTAAATGTACAGGAACATGCAGTGTATTCTAATTTACAGATTCTAGGCATGGAAAAAGATTCATTTGTGAAAAGGTACAAAACAATTGCAAATCATCCTGAACTTAGTGTGTGGTTGAATTATTCGAAGATATTCCATTTAATTATTGCATATAAGTCTACTAAGGAGAAAATTGATATTCTCGAAAGCACGAACCGTATGAATTCGGTTTCTTTTTATGCAATCTATTCTTCAAGAAAGATTTTTTATAGGTCAGCTACACAACAAGTGTGAGAGACTTTTATTTTTGCATTAAATTATTTTATTTTATTGAAATTGAAAAACTGTACAGATCTATCGAGCCATTGACACATCCTCGGGTGGCTAGAAAGAAATATTTGCAATTCTTATTGAATGAAGCATTTGGAAAGGATGCAATGCAATGTGTCTCTTCTATAACGAGACATCCTCATTGGAAAAACATACCATTTAGTGTTATGTACAAAATGATAATTTACTTAAAAGAAAATTACACGCTGGAAGACATACTGCCTAATATTCATCTCATACTCTATCCATTGTAAGTTCATACATACTAAACTTGCATATGATAAGCTATGTGAAGGAGATAAAAATACGAAGTAAAAAAAGAAAAAAATTTTGGCGCAACTATCAAGTGATTCGTTCAATCTTTTATCAAGCATTCAATTTCTTATTACAGGTCCACAGTTAAGAAGATGATTGAAACAGTCGACAAGGAATATAGTTTACGAAATAAACTGGACTACACAAATAGTCAACGCCTAGCATTATGTTTGTACATGTTAGAGAAATCTTATCATTTCAGTGGCGATGCCGTTTGGAAAACATTGTATCCTGAGGAGAGCTCGAACAAAACCAATCTTGAAAATCTTGAAACCAATCTTGAAAATTCAGAGGAATGTTCATATAATGTTAATACGATTGATAAAGGATTCAACCCATATATGAAAAAGCTTTGATTATTATAATGGTAGAAAACATGCGATATTCTCAGAAATTTTGTTTACATCTTATCAATTTTTGTTGGTTTATTCAAAATCATGTTCGTACACAAATGAAATATTAATGTAGCAGATTTCTCGTGATGGTATTTCTTGAAAATCGATTTGTTACATACTTTTATAATTTATTTTCAATAATATTCTGACTAAGAAGTAAGGGTAGGACGATATGCAAACACATGATATATATATATATATATATATATCTTTTTTAACAAATGTCGCACGCACAATATGTTTTTAATATACAATAATATCACCATAAAATACGCATAACATCAGAGACCGTCAGCATGTTACAATTTTGCTGGGCACGATTCAATTTTCCATCGAACAAAAGAAATGGAAATCGAAGTTTCCGAATACAGTTACACTCATCCCATAAGAACACATATACACGTTAAGCTTATTTTTTTAAGGCACTTGGAATGCTCCAATTAATTTAACGCGCTCATCCCTACAACTATCCGATATTTCTTATTTTGATCTATTCATTATAAAAACACTAAAAAAGTTCCTAATCGAAGACTGAATTACTCGAATATCTCTTTCACAATCAAATGAAATCTGCACCAATTTCCTCAAAGTACAAACTCTTGAACAGATCCAGGAAGCTTTAAAAAACGTTCTTCTCTAGTTCGACCCATTAAAAATTGGAAATAAATATACATCTAGCTTAATGCGATTTAATTTACAAATATCAAAGAAAAGATGATAAGAGAGAAAGAAAGAAAGAGAGAGGGGGAGCGTTAAGTTGAAACACGTATCCTATTCCTATGATCCAAGAAGGACCTGTATCAATACGAAAACTATGATTGGTATAAAGCTGTATGTCTTTCGCGGGCCTATGTTTGCGGAGCAGACCCGACTCCTTGCTTATCTATGAAAATCAATTGCAAATCGGAACACTTTATACAGGGTGTTCTTGATCTCGCGACGTTGGAGTATCTCACGAAGGACTGTGCCTATTTCCGAATATTCGACTGTTTCCTACGAGTACTGTCCTTCATGGTGTACTCCAGTGTTGCGAGATAAAGGTTATTTGAGATTGTCCACAGCTTGGTCCCAAAACCGTTCATTGATCAGGGCCCGTGGTGAAGTGGCAAGGCTCAGCTAGAACGAGTCTAGAACGGAGGTTTCGAGTCAGTTCAGAAAAGGAGGCAGCTGCACATAGTTCTGTTGGCTAGCCGGCTCACTCTTCACCATCACTTGGTCCTTCAGACCTTGGCGTCCTTGCGGTGAATGCATACCGTAGTCCTGCTTCTGGTCCTGTTGCGACTGTTGCTGTTGTTGCTGCGTGTAATCCGGCTGCTCGTGTTGGTACTTGTCCGCCGGACTCAGTCCGCTCACGTAGTCCAACTGCTTGTTCTGCTGATGGTCCTCCTCGGACATCGAGTTGGCCAGGTGCGTGGGTGGCGAGTGGGCGGTCACCATCGTCTGGTAATCGTTGCGGGTCAACGGCGGCGGCGGACTGTTCCCGGCGTTCATGTAGTCCTGGTGAACCCGCATCGCGTTGCCGGACGGCGCCGAGAACAACGAGGTGTCGTGCTGCGGCAGCATAGTCGCGTACGAATACGCTGTTCCGTTGTTGCTTGGACCGCCGAACGACGTCGAATACGGCGAATTCGAGGGACTCAGCAGGTTCAAATGAGGCGCTAGGTCATAGGCCGGCGTATACGTCCAAGCATCCGGCGGCGCCGTTGCCGTCGTCGGCGAGGCGAACGGGTTCAAGCTGTTGTTCAGCGAGGTGAACGATCCTGGAACAACAATAACAACAATTTCGTTATTCAAACGGTCCTAAGATGATCAAGACCCTCGTTCTCGGCGCGTTTCGCCCCTGGGCCACCTGTTATGGCCGGTACCAGTGATGCGACGCCATGCTGTCTTGTGCCTACATTGAACTCTCCGAGTTTTCAACGCTTTGGATGTTTGCGCGTCTAGCAAGAAGCATTCCATCGAACACACCGAGCGTTTAGCATTGTAATTATACACGATAAAGGTGAAAATGTAAGAGCAAAACTTGTCATATATTCAGGAAACGTCAATCCTTCGCGCACAAAGCTATCGTAACTCCAAAATCTAGATTTAATGTATTTTTTTCACGTTCTATAATTATCTTTGAGTCTGTGTGCACATGATAGCGAGCCAATCCGTTCATCGAAATTCTTTGTTCGACAATCGCATTTATGATATTTCGGTCGAATATTTTTTTCCAGGGCTGGTAGTACGTAAACAATTCGAAGGTTTCGCGATCGAATTTACCTGACAAGCCTGGACTAGCCGATCCAGCGGCCATGTAGCCGGCGGTCTTGCGCGGCGGTTCCCGCTTCCGCCATTTCGCGCGTCGATTCTGAAACCAAACCTGAACCCTGGACTCGGAGAGCGCGAGCTTAACCGCGAGTTCCTCGCGGGCGAACACGTCCGGGTACGGTGCACGTTCGAACGCTTTCTCCAGCTCGTCCAGCTGATACGCCGTGAACGTGGTCCTGCAATTGATCGGATTCGAAGTTTAGTACGTCGTCCGAAGGGGCACGGCCAATCGTAAGCAGCATATTAGTTTGAAGTTGAACGACCGTACCTGGTCTTCTTCTTTTTGATCCCGTTGTTGTCGGTCTTCTTCTTCGAGTCTTTCTTAGCCGGCTGCGCCTCGCTGCTCACTGCAACACGAATTCGAAACATGATTTATCCTCGTTTCCCGGTTCTACGATCGAAACCCGGAAGAGAAGCTGACGAACCTGGCGCGAGGGTGTTCATCGGGTCCTCCGGCTTCCTTTTGAGCGGGTTGCCAAGCTGCAACCCCTGTTGGAGCGTGGTGGAGGTCGGCGTCGCGGCGCTCGACGTCGAGGTGGTGACGTCCTGCGTCTGAGGAAGCGGCGCGTACATTCCGGCCAGCTCCAGTTCCTTCAACTCCTTCTGCTGTTGCTGTTGCAAATGATGGTGCGAAGCCTGGTGATGCGGCGGAGGACTGTTCGAGGAGTCCAGCTTGTGAAGATGACCGCCGGTGGGCATGAGATCGCCGCCGTGATGACCGCCGTGCAGACCCAGCATCACCTGGATGCTGTGAACACCTGTGCCACCCCGGCCGCCGAAGTCGGAGAAGATCGGGTCGTCGAAAGGACCCCCGTCCATGGTTCGCCGGTGGCTCTCCGGAGGACGTTCAACGGATTCGACTGCTCCTCGACGAAAACGAGACAACTCGTGATGCTAGTTCGCACGATCACTCGACGGTGGTCTTTTCCGTTGGACACTCGAGTTCTCGTCGAACCGGGCACAGTGTTCCCGCGGATAATCCACGAACCGCACACTTCCTCGTCGTGTCGTGGCACAGTTTCCGCTCGAGGCCCGTTTCACCGGTTAAATTCCTCCTGGCGCTTCTGTACGGTGTCCTCCGGTTGTCTCGCGAGGAATTCAGATCCGCGGCGGTCCCGCGGCAATTATGCAAAAAAGCACGCGTGTACGGCTGATCGCGTTAGCGGCACCGGTAATGGAATCCGGACCAATTGCGATCAATTGTTGCCCGGGTTATGATTAATTTTGATTAGTTTTAACCGGAGTTAACTAAGCGACCGGCGTTTGCGAACGTTGGCCCCGAGACGAGACCAGACGAGACCAAACGAGACGAGACGGGACGAGACGCGACGAGACGAGCGTGTTGCCGCGGACACAGGGAAAACCAGGACCTTGGAGGACGGTGTGCCGCGGAATGGATCGTGTGGTCCCGGGACGCGGTTTCTATTGAGCGGGCTGCGTGTTCGATCGTGAAGAGCGGCCTATCCTCGCGCCACCGACGATCTCCTCTGACTCTGGCTAATCAACCGACACTCACACACGCTTATATTTTCAACGGGTTGCCGGCCAGGCCGCCCCCACACATGGAAGCCAGCCAATCCTGTGGCAACTGGCCGCCTCGACGTGATCCGCGAGAGGACGGCCGTTTTATGCGGGCGCGGTGCGCGCTCTCTGCCTCGTTTTCTTCCTCTTTCTTTCTCTTTCTCGCCCTTTCGGCGCCCGTATCCTCCCTCTCGTCCTTTTTTCCCTATTCCTCTCTTTCCGAACCCCGCGCGACCCGCGACGCCTCCCAGCTCCCGCCTTTCCTCTTCCATCCGTCGCCTTTTTCCCTGTTTTCGGTGCGCCGCTGCCTCCTGCTCTTCTCGATCCGAGCGAAACAGACGATCCGGGTTTTGTCACCGATGCGACCGCCCCCCGGCCCACCGGAGAACGCCGCCGCGCCGCGGAGATCAGCGTCGGGACGCCCGAGATGCCGAGACGCCGCGACGTGGAGGGGCGTGTGGGAACCGGACCGACCAGAGACCGTCGGCACCGCCGAGCTCGGCCCGCGTCCCATCCCGATGGGAAAATTAAACGATGGATCCGAGCTCCGCCATGGATCCGCGTGTTTCGCGACCTTTCGACCTTCGCGCGGTTCTTCGAACCGACCGCTCGTCGATCCGCGCGGATTCCCGCGGTTTCCTCGCCATTCACGATTGCCAGGAGAATCTTCCGATCGATCGACCGATCTGCTCCACTCGGAACACCCGGTTCAAATTGGCTAGTTCAAAGTTCGAGGTTGCACGATTTCACACCGCGTCCCTTTAGCACGGTCTCCTCGCGACGACCATCATTCTCGAAGCGACGCTCTTCGAATGGAACCTTCGAACGTTCACCGTTGCGACTCGCAGGCACTCGGTATTTTCGACTACGGTACAGCGAATCGGTACGTACCTGGACAGCCTGATCCTGATAAAGGTAGCAGGTTAACACGTTAGGTCACGACCATCGATTCCTCGGCGTACCGATGGTATCCGAGATCTTCTGGTTCCTCGGGAACACGGTCACCGGTGCTCCAAAGATTCGAAGCACTCTCGTTTCGACTCGGAAAGATCGAGTCGGGAGAAGGTCGCTCAGCCAGAAGTCCTTGAACCCGACCGGCGAGCCTCTATCCTTCGATCTCGCGATCCGCGAGATCGCACGGTGCACGATCGCCGCGATATTCCTCGGCGCTGAATCATCTTCTCTCCGGCGTTATCACACTGGCGTTATCCTTTGAGCACTCGCAGGCCGGAAGACACCGGAATCACTCGGAGATTTCGCCGGGGACCGATCGCGACGAGATCAGCCGGCGCCGCGTCGGATCGCGGCCGGCGATCGGCACGGATCACCGTAGATCACGAACGGATCGACGCGAAGGACGGCAAAGGTAAGGGTACCTACACTTTCCAAGAGATCCATGTCCGTTGACCGGCAGCGTGGCACTGAGCTCTTAAGCGCAGGCTCAATGAAACCAGCAATCGCCAGGAATTGCCTCGAATTGGCCCAATCAAACTACCCCCATTCCGTGTGTACACGCGTATATTAACTGCTAATTTCATCGGCGGTAATTAGCGCGCGCGGCTGTCACGGCGCGCTGATTTAATTGCGGCTCGCGGACGCTTTCCCTCCTCGGCCCCCTCCTCGGGACCGTCTTTTCCGCTCCGATCCGGTCCCCTGGGGAGGATCGACCGGTGGCCACCGGTTCCCGCGGCTTTCCTCCTCGATCCGCCGGTTAATCGCTTTGTTTACGGCGCGCCGGAATCGAGCCGCATCGGCGGACTCGCTGGGAAACGCGGCGAACGACCGCCGTTCCTGGCTCAACCTCACCTCCCCGATAAGCGGACCTCACCTTGGACCCCTCGGTGCTCCGTCTTCTTTGTATCCCGAGCCAATCGACGAGTCTGTTCCGATAACGACGACGATCGCGTCCCAAGGCTTCGTCGCGCCGTCGTCGGTACCGATGCGTTCTCACCTGTCCCCTCAGTCTTCAGCGAAAGCTTCGGCGCCCAAGAGGATCCCGTCTCACCCTTGATTCGACGAGACATATAGAAATTGGCCTGTTAACGCTACCGAGCGTTAAAAGCGACGGATGCGCGTTGCCCTGTAAGAATGACAATACCGAATTTATTTAGACTTTCCAGAATTTTGATTGCAACGAATACTTGCATCGAGAAGTTCGTTCAATCATTTCCTGCGAAAGGTTCTTTACAGGGCAATTTTAAAATACAAATGCCGGTTATCTCGACCGGCTTGGCAGGTTTAGCGCTAAAACGATACATTTTTCTGTACCTTCAGGCATAACTTTCGTCTCTCCCCTGCGAGAAGAACCACCGGAGCGAGCGTCGAACGAGAACCCTGTCGCGGATCGACAGGCCCTATCGGTCTCAACGTAAACATTCGACGAAGATGCGTCGTCTTGCGGAATCGAGGACGAATCGAAGCCAACCGAGTCGACGTTGAACGATAAGAAAGACATCTGTAAACTGGACGTCCAAGAGCACCGAGCACCGACCTAGGTCAACGTCGTCCGCGGCGGCTCATCGAGACTAGCGTCGAAGCCGATCCGCTTCGAGGAACCGGAGGATCTCGGGGCGCCCTAGCCGGTTCGGGTGGAGAGGATGCGGGCGGCCGCAGGACATCCGCGGGCACAGGAACCGGTCGGCACCGCGAGGACGCCGGCCGAGCGCAAGAGCGAGAAGTCGGCAACTTAACTGGCCTAAATGGGTTTAACTCGATGTGATTTTGCTGGCGAACCACTAAATTGAACGAATACGAACTAAACTGAACTCAACTAAGCTAATCATATCACATTACTAGCGTTATTAGCCGAGAGACGATATAAGTGAAGGCCCGGTGGTGCCAGGCTGCAGTAACGGGTCGCCTCCTGCGCTGACCCTCCGCGCGACTTTCCTTTCGACCCCGTGTACCCTTCGACCCTTGCCCGGGAACCACCGTCGCCGCGGCTCCCTTCGAGCTCCCGGCGTCGCGGACGCGTTTCCTCTCGCGATCGGTCCCGTTCCGCGGTGCCGCCTTTGGAAACGGGCCGTCTTCGTCGAGGAAGGCCCCGACGAAGTGCGTTCGTCGGGCAACCGAGCAGACGGACACGTGGTTCCGGCAGGCGACGACGACCGACCGTGACCGAAGTGTCCCGCCAGCTGATCGACAGGAAACACGTGGCCTGGGAGCCGACGACTCGCGCGGGAAACTCGAACCGACTGTTCATCCGAGCTGCTGGAACCTGAGGAATTTCGTTCATCGAGTGCCAACGTTCCTTTCTCTCCTGCAAGAAACGAACGATATCGCTGTTCGCGAATTTGTACGCGCTCGCCGCGAAATTGTTAGCGGGATCCAGTGATCTTGGCGCGTCCGCAGGATGCGATTTTATTCGTCGGTGTTCGTTCTCACTGGATCAGAGATATTACAACGTTCGTTCGCGAGTCCTTGACATTGTTCGTCCGAGTCGCGAGTGCCCGAGCCGCGATGAGATCGAGCGACTCGCGCCCCTAACGGAGATCTCGTTCGTGGATCGGCTCTTTCGAATTGATCGCCGACGTCGATTGCGCAATGTTGCACAGATCTCTGCTCGCGCGTTAGATTCTATGAGCGCAAAGATGGCGGAAGGCGGCGAAGAAAGGGGGAAGGCCGTCGTCGAGGGAGGAAAGAGAAGCCAGAATAATTAGCCCCCACTCCCGCGGAAGCGAACGGAGAGGGAGGAGACACGGTGGAAGATAAGACCGGAGCGGGCACGATAGAATCCGCTCCCACCACCTTCGGGCGCAGAAAACGGGTCCTGGGCTCCACCTATTCCCCCTTCCGACCCCGTTGTCCTTCGCCGGCGAAAAACTGCGCTACCGACGCACTTACGCTCGTCTTCCTCCCTTCCAGCAGCCATCCAAAGAATAAGCCTGGGGCCGCAACGCGCCACCGGAGCGAATCCCTCGCTCTGCCCGAGGGAACTATCGATTCGACGTGTATTATTTAACGCCTTAACAATTTTTAACTAGCGGATAACGTAACGAGACTCTCTGTCTACTACGATGTATTTTTACCAGAATTAATTTACGCGAAGGGGCATGGTTGACGTTAGGGGTTGATCTCTCTCTGTCGCGTCGCAGCCGTGACAAAAAGTATCAGAAGACGAGTCTGCCGACTATAGTTCAGAGAATTTATCGATATCGTTGTTGCTTTCGGCTCGAGAATTTGAAAATGAATTCCGCAGTTCGCACGTTGCAGGTTTCCGGCGACCGCTTCGCTACGTTTTATTTTCGTCCCGCGATGGCGAACGCGTCGACAGTTTTTCCGCTTATCACCGGATTCGCTTCAGCAATTAAGCCGTCGCGTGAGGAACGGAAAACGAGAGAGAGAGAGAGAGAGAGAGAGAGAGAGAGAGGGAAATCTATTTTCGGACGACGAGAACCTACCGGCACGAAATCAGCTCGACGCTCGAACCGGAGACTGATCGGCTTCTTCGCGAATGATTTATCATCCATGGAATTCCGAAGGAACGTTCATCCCTCCGTTGAACTTCAGCAACAATTTCGCAGACGTTTTTCAATCGTGATCAGTCGAACGAAGTTTCGTCACGAAGGTAAAAAGGTTTCGCGAAATCGTCTTCGATTCGAAGCGTGGGCCGAGCAAAATTGGATCCCCGGCGTTGACTCGTGAAGCTTCGGTACGTCACCGGAGAAGCATACGTATATATATAGATCGAGAAATGACGGCAATGGAACGAAGGGGTCCCCGCGGAGGGTTCTCAAGGGTTCGATTCTTTTTGCGCGCAAACAGCCTCCGTCTTTTTCTCCTTTGTCTCCGGTTTTTTCTGCTTCTTTTTTACGTCGTAGGTATGCCGACCGGATAGTATAGCCGTGTGCCCGCAGTGCCACGCTAGCAGGGCCGACCAATTGAGCCGGTTAACGTCAATTGGACTGAATTAGTTCAATTGGACGTAATTGCGCGAAGGCGACGGGGAACCTCCGCTACACGTCGGCCATGCTCGCGTTCCTCTCGCGGCTAGCAAACCGGGCACAGTCACCACGATACGTGTAGCAAAATATTATTTCGACTCGGAAACCCCGGGATTCGGTTTCCCGAACGACAGAAAGATCAAGGCTTTTTTGCATCCCGCGGTCTCGTGCTTTATTCGATCCTCGTCGCCCGTTTCTTCAATTCAATATCGTCCTTGAGAAGGGGATGCCGTCGATTTTTTCCTCCCCTGGAAATGAAGAAATACGGTGCGATAAGATTCGCAACGTCTGCGAGCAATAATCGCGGGGACAGATTAAAAGACTTGAAAAAAGCAGTCGTCGACGGTAACGAAATGTCGCAGCTTTCGAGGGTTGATTCTCGTGCAACGCGACGCAATAATTAAATGTTTTTCATTGGATTTTTCTATACAAATCTAAAAGTTATATTGCTCTAGAACTTTGGGAGGCGTAAAGAGAAACTTTCAAGATGGAGGACAAAATTTGTTAGTCGTACTTTTGTTATTTCTGATTAAATAGTGATCCAGTCTTATACTCGTCTTCGATGATGGCGGGCAGTGCAGCATCTACGACGGACACCGCAACGAATCAAAAATTTTCTTAAAGTTAGATCATTTAAGCTGGGATTCAACCTATTTTGATTAACAAATTTGACGAGTTAAACAAATTCTAACGTCTGCAAGCAAATTTTCTTTTGTTTTGGTGGACAATTTCAGCTTGAAAGCGTCGTTGAAAAGCATCATAAATGAGAAATAAAATTTAATCTTAGGTTCAATCCCTGCACAAAGTTGTAACGAAAAATGTAAGCTTCGTTTCGAGTCGATTGGTCGATTAGATTTTTAGTTATTTCGCCCCCACTTTAAAAAAAATACGGTACAGTAAATTCTCCCGAATTGACGCTCAAGATTGTACACAAAAATGGACAATTTGGGAAGAGGAGATGGGTCGTTTTTATAGTTACCGATTGTTAATAACCATAAAAACGGAGCCGCAAGGCTCGAATATAATAATATAATATAATATAATAAATTAGAGAGAATTTTTTTACTCTGTGTATATTGGGATGATAGCAGACCATAGTTGGATACAAAGTAATCTAATTTAACGGCGATATTTAACGGTTACAACTCGTCAACTATTATAAACAATTTATAATAATTTACGTGCGTACAGCTTAACTGTACGATTAAATCGTGTATGTTCATTCCTGTTAATTCGACACTTCATAGTTTTCAAAAAATTAATTACTTTTTCAATCAACGATTCATACTAAAAACGTATAAAATGATACGGGAACGATTGCCGAATGTAATACAAGTTGAAGGAGATAGAACGAAACTAATTAATAATATAATAAATAAATGAAATTAATTTCATATTTTGTCTTCAAGATTACTAATAATCGTATCTCCTCTTCCCAAATCGTCCATTTCTGTGCACAATCCGAGCGTCAATTATGGAGAATTTACA